GGCGCTGGTCAAACCGCAGTTGGAATACTGCATGCAATTCTGGGTGCCGCACTTCAAGAGGGATGCGGATAACCTGGAGAGGGTCCAGAGAAGGGCCACTGGTATGGTTAAGGGCTTGCAGGCCAAGCCCTATGAGGAGAGACTGGGGCACCTGGACCTCTTCAGCCTCCGCAAGAGAAGGTTGAGAGGTGACCTTGTGGCTGCCTATAAGTTCATCATGGGGGCACAGAAGGGAATTGGTGAGGTTTTATTCACCAAGGTGCCCCGGGGGTTACAAGAAATAATGGCCACAAGCTAGCAGAGAGCAGATTTAGACTAGACATTAGGAAGAACTTCTTCACAGTTAGAGTGGCCAAGGTCTGGAACGGGCTGCCAAGGGAGATGGTGCTCTCCCCTACCCTGGGGGTCTTCAAGAGGACGTTAGATAAGCATCTAGCTGGGGTCATCTGAACCCAGCACTCTTTTCTGCCTATGCAGGGGGTCGGACTCGATGATCTATTGAGGTCCCTTCCGACCCTAACATCTATGAAACTTCAGGTGGGACTTTCAGAAGCATGTAAAGGAGTTAGGAGTATAAAATCATGCCAAGTTTCCCAGAGGTGATTCTGGGAATACCAACACATGTGGTTAAAGCCAAGCTCTCCCCTCAGAGATGACTGACCATCACTGGTTCTGCCATTCCACTGAGCGGACGTTCATCTGGAGCTCCTGGGGCGACAAGGGGAGGCTCAATCTGAGCGGCAGGACATGAGAGCTGCTCTATGCTAGGTTCTGATTCTGCAAGGAGTCGAGCACTTCCTGCAAGGTTCTTACTGCCCTCAATTTTCAGTGAAGTCAGTAAGTGAGAGGGCACTCATTCCTCCACACCCACACCTTCTCAGCACACACATTTACAAGAAACGCTGGCAATGGGTTAACAAGTTAAGAACTCAACAGGTAAGAAACAATGGCATCAGGTTTATCTGTGCAATCTTTACTCTGTTCCCTTGCGCACATACACTTTGATATGGTCTTTATTTACACTGGGGCTCTCCAACTGGATGCACACAGCCCTCAAGGGGTTAAATTGCAGGGGCACCCCTGGACTCCTGCCTTGCTACCAATCCCCTCATTTCTCCGGCTGCCGGGCTCCCCGTCTCTTTTGTGACTACTACTTCCTGCCCTTGCCCCTGCCTCAAGGGTGGAGCAGCATGGGGAACTGATGGTGATCACAAGGCCTGAAGTGCATTGGTAGGGCACCCATGTGAGTCAAGGTGGGGAGAGGCACAGGTGCACAGTGCAGCAGGGGCCATATCTGTGGAGTGTGCAGCCTGGGGTGGGGGTATGGCTCACCTTGGCACGTCCCCTGGCCACTTGGAAGTTGGGCAGGCCCGATTTACACAACCACATACTATTTCTTAAGTAACAGAAGTATACTGCAATTCTTTATGCAACTTGAGACATATATACATGTGGCCCATCCACACTTCCCTGCACGTTCTGTGCGGGGAAGACGCAACTTCTGGAGACAAAATGCACAGTGAATGAGGCAAGGGCTCCTAGAAAATGCTGCCCTATTTAGTGAGAATATTACATGATAAGTCTGTTGATCTTACGGTCAGAATAGATCACCATTTCCTAGTCTCACCTTCTGCTCAACATATACCATACCATTTGCTGTGGAGCCCTGCCTCATTCAAATGTGCACCCTACTGACCCACTGTAAATAAATTTGATGCCCTCCTACTTCAACCAGTGGCTTTATATACTCCACAGCAAAGCAACTACAGAAATTCTCTTTAGCCACCTCCAAGCACCTTACGGGGTAGTGAATGAGGCAAAACAGGTTCATTATATACCCAGGTTTATTTAAATTTAGCTGTTCCACTTAGTTTAACTTGGTGTCTAAAGCACAGTAGTTTTGCTGGATATTCTACAGCTGTCCAACACTGAGAATACTAGCAACAGTGCCACCACCATTGAGCCTTGCCCAAGATCACACAGAAAGTCAGTGACAGAGGAGGGAATTGAACCTGGGCCTTCCCTATTCTCCCTCTCCCTTTACCTTCAAAAGGGCCAAATAGTTTCTCCTCCATTTTTGGCTTTTGAACCAAAAAATGCCTTTGGGCAGAGATAAAATCTGTCACAAAATCTAGTCAGAAGGAGTACAGTAAAATGACTTGGTGAAAAAAAAAATCATAAAGCATTTGAAATGATGTATTTCCTCACATACAACACATCCCAGAATACAGTATTAGAGGTGCACTGATCGGTTGCATATCTGACTGGCATCGATAAAAGGGAAATTTACATTATCGCCTATTGGCTTTTTTTGACCATTGCAGCCAATAATATTCTCTGATAAATATAATTAATTATGCCTTCTGGCCGGGGCCCCTGGATGCCTGAGTTCCCCCTTGCCCATAGGACCGGGGTCCCTGGATGCCTGGGTTCCCTTGGAAAAACAGCGGGTTTCCCCTTGCAGGTGGACAGCTAATAAGCTTTGGTTCAAGCACCGCTGCCACCATTTTGAAGTGTAGTGATGGCGTTTAAGTGGGGCAGAGCCAAGCAGGGTGAGGGTGGATGCAGGCTGTTTGCTCTGGGCTCGGGGCTGTCCACCCTGCTGCATTTGCCCTTGGATCCCCACACTGGCCGTGCACCCTCTGCCCACCCAGTAGCTGGAAGCACAACTCACCATTCCCACTACTGTCAGGCAAGCAAGGGTGCAGCCAGCACAGCTCTGCCCCACTTAAAAGCGTCCCCACACTTAAAAATGGTGGCAGTGGTGCTTGAAGTAAAGCTCATTCAACGAGCTTTAGTTCAAACACCCCCACTGCCATTTTTAAGCAATGGGATGCTGATACATGTGATGCCAGAGCCTGCTGGAGTGCAACAAAAAAAAAGGGGGTTTATTTATGTCAGTACATTTTAAAGTACTGACATAAATAAACCTTTTTTTGGTACGCTCCAGCAGCCTCCAGTGTCACACATAACCAAATCGGTTATCAGACTGGTATCAGCCAATATGGCTGGTTAATAATTGGCTATTGGTATCAGCCAAGACAAGCTTTAACAATGCACCCCTATACAACATGCACATTGTTTTTGAAAGGTAGAATGAAGAAAAAATGATTTGTTCAGAGTTATGGCTGCACAGAGAAGGGATAGAGCCTAATCTTCACTTTCCTCTTCCTGTTCAACTAAAGCTGAAACTGTAGCTACTGGTAAAGACTGGTTTCCAAGGTTGGATCTATGCTTCTGGAAAGGGCTAAAGAGTCTCCAGGGCTGTGAAATAGGAGAGAGAGATGAGGAGCAGCAACCGGATAGTGAAGCTGCCATAAAAAGGGCTAGCTTGAGTAGTGGAACATCAAGGCCATTAAAAAGGAGAGACAATTATTAACTATTAACACCTCTGGAACAAAATATGAACCACTCAATTGATTCCCTCAGCTGCCTGAATAATAATACAATAGCTGCTGTACTTTGGAGCACAAATCAAAGCATGGTGCTTCTATACAGGTCAGAAAATCAACTTCCCTGCTTAACATATGCACCCCAATTTTGGGGGGCTGATTTTGAGGAGAATGGTGCATATTTTATGTCAGACAATATGATAGACTGTTTTAGCCCTTTTTTAAAAGTGCTTTTAGTGATTTTATTTTTTCCCCTGGTTATCACTTTTTTTTTAAATCAAAATTGCTATCAAAATTCTCTCTTTACCGGAAGTCTTCTTTCCTTACTAAAAATGGCTTTTTCAGCACCAGAACTATTTCCATAATGATTTTGATTCAAATGCTGATAACATTCTGATATGAAGCATAGACTGAATGTTGCAACAAAGAAAGAACAGCTTCATTCAGCAGGTGTCAATGATTTTTTTTGCCAAGGGAAAAAAAATTAAATAAAGGCTACATTGGAATGAAAACCAATCTTTTTGTGCAAAAAAAATCCCCCCAAAAAGACTCGCTTTACAGTTCCAACTTTATCCTAAATGGTGAATGTTTCAAGAAATTCTAAATAAGGGCACTGGATAGAGGAAAAATCCATGAAACCTTAGCTTTAGATCAGCGACGCTCAACTTTTTTGTCCAACAGGTCAGATGGTTAGTGCCTGGTCCCTCCATGGACCAGATCCAACTGGTGGCACTGACCAGGGCCAGTGCCCGGGGCAGGCATGGCAGAGTCCCACCCAGCTGAGTGGAGGGAGGGACAGCCCAGCCCAATCCAGCCACACAGGTGAAGGGGGCTTGGCCACCTCAGCCCCACATTGGGGAGGGAGGTATGACACGGCCCCGATCCATCGCAGAGGGAGGGGACATGGCCCAACCTTTCAGAGGAAGGAGATGTGGCCCAACCCAAACCTGGCTGGAGAAAGGGGGTATGGCCAAACCCTGTTGGGAGTGGAGCATGGCCCAGCCCCAAACCAGCTGCACAGGGAGAGGGGGCGTAGTCAACCCAAGCCTGGGTGGGTAGGAGGAAAGGAGGCATGGCTCAGCCCTGTGGGGGGTACAAGGGGCGAGGGAGGTGTGGGCCAGCCTTGTACTAGCTGTACAGAGACACGGGGCATGGCCTAGCCCTGATCTGGCCAAGCAGATGCAGGAACATGGCCTGGCTCTGACCCACCACTTAGAGCTTTGGATTTTGGCAGCAGGGAGTGCTGGCAGTATTAACTGCCACTGTTCCCTGCCACCATGCTTCCTGATCCCTGGAGAGCCACATGGACCAGATTCCAAGGCTCTGCAGGCCATATCTGGATTGCGGCCCAGAGGTTCAGCACCCCCGCTATAGATATCACTAGCGCCTTAGCCCACCTCAGACTGAGGTACAGAATTGTTTGTAGACAAACTACTAATTCTCCTATGAGCTTCATTTGCTCTTACATGATCTTTCCTGCACTGTACTGGAAGATTATGGCACTGATGGATTTATTATTCCTTGATCAGAGATTTATTTAAACTCTGCCTCTGCTTTAGCTGGGTGAAGAACACAGCCCTGCTTATCCAGCATGAATGAGCCTGTTACCTGCTCGTATTTCTCCAGCTCCGTGTGGTAGATCTGTCGGATCTGTGAAAGCTTAGCTCTGTAGTCAGAATGCTCCACGGAGTTGTCTGAACCGGCCCCTCCGGATGCTGCTGCAGCAGCGGCTGCTGCTGCTGAGCCCCCTCCTTTCTCAGGTCCTGCTACCCCCTCCGCCAACAGCATGTTGTCCAACCGCATCAGCTGGGGGTCCGTGGGCTCCTCTTCCTGGGCTCCCCGAATACTCAGGACTGTGAGAAGGGACAAAGACAAAAGGGAATGGTTAGTAATACCCCATAGATTAAACACAAGCAATGGCAACAACTCTGTCAATAGCAAGATCCAAGACTTCCAATGGAACTAAGAACAATTAATACCAGCTGAACATCTGGCCCATCAGATCAAATGGAAATATGTTAATTTTAACCAGATGAGGATCCAGACCATTGGATTAGCCAGTGGGGCTAACCAAATTCACACCAGTTGGCAATCTCCGCCGACTCCAATGGAGCTACATGGATTTACACCAATTTAGGAGCCGACCCCTCGCTTGCAAAAATCTCATGCCACCTTGAGGTCACCAGGTCAAATCCAGACCAGACCAGTGGTCACTGAGAGTCACCAGCCCATGATAGCCTCAAGCTGGTGGGGCCTGAATTAGACACTGTTGTTCCTAGTTGGCCATGTGTTGGCCATCTCAGCTGAGTCTGAGGGGCACAGCAGAGAATGACTGCATTTGTTGTCAGCGTCAGACCATGAACTCCATCTCATATGCTCTTTGAGCACCAGCCAGCTGGAGAAAGCAGCCCCTAAAGTGTCCTGCTGACTGCAGCCAGTCCATAAATCTCCCTCAACAGTGTACTGCCCACAGCTTAGGGCATCCAGAGCTTAGGCTATGGCAGCAAAGGGGAAAGGAGCTGCAAGCAATTGTTCCACTGCTGGGTTTTAATATTTTTTTTGCCAGCCCCTGTGGTGCCTGTTTCAGTGGAGAGGAAACTCATGCAAGGCTTGGCGAGACGAGAGTTAAAGCTGCAGCCAGGGCAGATTTAATAAATAAATAACGAGTCCCGCATGTGTCTGGTCGGCCCTGTGGGCTCTTGCCAGTTCTGGTTGCTTCCGCAGCCTTTGCAGGTCACCCACATGAGGTTGTGACAGGGAAGGTAGATATGAGGCCGATGCAAGGGGACATTTAGCTATTCAGGGCATCGCATTCTCCACATGACCAGCCTGGGCTGCAGACTGTTTACACATGCTCCTCACTTACAAAAGGAAGAATAAGATCAGCTTGGATATTTCTTTTCTTTGTTTAAAACACATATAAACATTGGAAATAAAAATAATCAATGAATAATAGAATGTAGCATCTTCCAAGAGCTGGACAGACATTAGATTATTCATTGTGGAATCATATAATCCATCCATTAATGTTAATTCTTAAGTTACATTTTGTTTTTCTTCCCCTAAGGAAACATATTATGGGGCTAAAACCAAGAGAAATTTGAGCGAGAGCTGGGAAGGGGGGGGGAAGGGAGGGAGCACCCTCCCCCACAAATTCTATCAGTTGGCTAAAATGCTCTACAGAAATATTGCAGTCCGTGTGCTTTTCCCATAAAGCTGATTTCTATATGGGTTTTGGTCTGTGATCCCATCTAACCCAAGAATACTGCTGTACAGTTGCTCTGCTCTTTGTTCTCATTAGAAAAAATAAAATTAAACACAAAACAAGACTCTGCTTTTGGATCTGCACAGCGCATACTTGAGGTATTAACAGCATCCATATAAATCCCAATAAATAAAAGCCTGCCTTGACTACATGCGGGGAGTAGCAGACATTGTGGGAAAGCATACTATTGGGGGAGAATCAGAACAGATCCCAGGTTCTCTTGCTTTTCCTTGCTGACATAGAGTTCAATCATCTTTTAGTTTACTATGTTTTGCTAAAAAAAAGGACCTTTCTACAATTAAGTCAGAAGGCTGAAAGTCAGGAGACTTGGGCTCAGTCCTTCCTTAACTCTCCCACACACTCTCTTGTGTTCTCACAGGGGTCACATATAGTCCAATCCCAAGCTTAAAACATATAACTCCCATAGACTTAAACAGCAGGATCAAGCCCTGAGACTCCATAAGCTTTGTATGTGTGGACTGAGCTCCTTTTCAGATAGGAGTCTTAAAACTACTTATACTACAGCGTTCCTGTCTTTACAGAGAGATGGTGAGGGCTTGATAAGGTTAGCACTAATGTACACAAAGTGCTTGGAGATCCTCTACTAGAAGACAGTAGGAAAATGGGAAATGTATATATATATTATATATATTATTTAGAAGCACCTTATTTGGTCATTCATTCACAACTTAGCTGAACAAAATGAAGCAAGGAAAACAGCAATAAATACATCTTCACAAAAGTGCTTGCCAAAGATCGTATTTTTTAGCGTGCTCAGTTTCAATTAGTGCATCAAGTAAAAGTCATTCTCTCTCTTTGAGTGTTTTCCTGTTCAAATTAAATCAAAACACACCACCACTCCACGCTTGCATTGCAAATATGGATACAAAATGGTAAATATGTTTCAAGGTGCCTGCCTGAAAAAAATCAAGCTGAAGTGGTTACACTTTGGAAAAAAAAAAAATGGGCAGCCTGGCAATTGTAGATGCTGAATCACCTACTTTTAAAACCCATTGTCTTTAATTTTGTAAACATTGCTTGGAGAGGCACAAGAGAGAAAATGTTGCATAAAGACAGGGTCTGCATGCATTCAGAGATTTACAGACAGATAGGAAAAGCTCATACACTGAATTGCAATAGAGATTCTATACACACACACAATACAGTATGTATATGCATTTTATATATTAATATGTAAATATGGTATATGGCATAGCTGGGTTACGATCCGTTGATTTAAGCAGAGCTGTGCTTGCTTACATCCAAGATGAATTTGACCCCATTATCCCCAAACCTGTAATCTGCACTGCCAACCAACAGCAAATGATTTTACTGTCAGTTTAAAAAAATAATCATAAATTGGCCCTCAATAAAAAAATAGTACTAACGCAGTAAAAACAACATGAAATGTATGTTTCCAGAATCCAAAATAAATTTCTGAAAGATACAATTACTGTTAATTTAGAGCAATTTTAAGTAAAAACTCAGTTGAGAAAGGACATTTATTACAGGAGTGTAAAACCCTAAATGCTTTAAAATAATGATTTTCTGAATGAGCAATTTTTGGGGGGGGCATTATGGACACTTTTACATTTGAAATTGTGTCAGTTAAAATGGTTGGAATGTCAAAATTTGTTAGCAAATTTGTTAGTAAAATACAGTAATAATAATTAATACACGATTACAACATTCACAATAATTCAAATACAAGAGGCTGGTTTATGATGCCACATTTGGATCCACATCCTGACTGCAAAGCTTTGAGAACAATTCAAGAGAGTCAAGATCCAGAATTTTAATATGAACACCCATCCCTATGTACATCATCCTGTAAATTAGATATGAGGCTTTACAAAAGCAGCAGGAAGGAAAAAAGATTTTCTAAGATAATCCAAACAGTGCAGTCCTGAAGCAGAGAGGTGCCAAGTAAGGAGATTCAGCAAAAATGTGGAGTATCGTCAATAAATGCATGTTGATTGGGGACTGGCTGCCCTGGATGCTAAGCAAGAAACAAGACAAATGTAAATGCTTAAAAGGAAGGAGCCGGATATGGGATAGCAAAGGAGGCGATGTGAACAGGAGAGAATAATGTCCCATTCTTTTCAAAAAAGCCTCCAATTACAAACTGAAAAAACAAAGGTAAAAGCAAAGAGCAAATGGGTTTGTCAAGACAGGCACAATCATAGTCAGGATTTAAAAGGGAAATATTTTTAGATTCAAAATCTAAAGAATTATTGCCTAGACAGGTAGGCACGGGTGATTAATTAGTCTGTATTTGTAAAGCCTTTTCAAGAGGGAAAGCACCATGTAACTGCTGAGTGTTATTACTGTACAACACAAATTATACACACGCATTCATATATATATTGCACACGCTGAAGTGCTATATACATGCATGTACCTATATGTGTGCTTACAGTTGCTATTATTACATTATCATTCTATACATTTAGTGAGTAGAGTTCAAAATTCAGTTGGCTGAGACGGCGCTGGGATCTGCAGAGACGATGTCTCTTTGGCCAGCCGGTTAGAATAACACTATTAAATAAGTAAATGAAAAGGCCAATGTGTCTAAGCAGAAGTGATGCCGCCTATTTATCGCTTTAAGTCTGCACTCTGGCGAGTAGAAGACAAAATGATTATTTAAAAGCTCCTTTTTTATCTTCCCGGCACCATACAAGACTCAAATGAACCTTCCGCCAGGACACCAGAGATGTTAACACTCCTCTTCTACGATCCAATTTCAAACGGCAGAGCTGTTACCTAATACAGCAACCATCACATACGATCAGGCCCCTGCTGCACTGATTCACCCTGCTACCTCCCTCCTGCTCAGCTTGAAATGGGTTTAAAGGGACAAGGGACCTGTTCCTGTTCAGTGTCCTTGGGAAGAAGAAACCCTGCCGGGGCATTGAAGCATTGGGATTTTCACAGCTGGGGGGAGGCAGGGGGGCAAAAGAGTCGTCAAGAAGCAATTTGGAAATATGTGAGGGAATGGGGCAGGAAAGATGCAAGTTCATTTTCTAAGGTGGGGGGGGTGTTGTTCATTTGTTTGCTTTTCATACTCAGTGTCAGTTCCTCAGCTGCTGTGAATTTGTGTAAAGGCAACAGGGTAACACTGATTTACATCCACTGAGGATCTGGCCCATGATATCTGCACTAATGCAGAAATTTACATAAAAGACACTTTAGTGAACTTCTGGATAGTTCGTTTGTTTAAGACAAAGGGCTCTCACCTGAGATGCTTTTAATGCTAGTGGGGTTATTTTTCCATCAGGAGCAGGACCATGTCTTTTTCTTTTTCCTTTTTTTTTTTTTTTTTTTTTAAAAGGCAACTCTCTCACAACTGGAACTGAGCAGGTATCCTCCTCTTCAAAGAGGCTGTGGATGATGAGACCATGGAAGCTCTGATCCCTTTTCAAAATGGGGCAAGAGGTCTGGGGTGTAGCGGGGAACGAGTGGAGGGGCAGATGTTGCTTGTGCTACAGCAGCTCTGTGACTAATCAAGAGAAAGGCCTTCATTTCCCCAGGCTGTCAAATTCCATGCGAGAAAGGGGTAAAAATTCATATAAAAATAAATTAAACAAA